GCAAGGAATTCTCAGCCAGGTTTTTCCTTGCTTGATGTGTCGTGTTCTCCCCTTCTCCCACTAGCCCTGAGCGATAATTCCCTGGAATGCTTCCACAGGCTGTGGAGACACCTTAATAACCTGCCGGGATCCTTGGTGCTGGGGAGCTCTGGTTGAGCTCCGAGGGTTTATCCAGGGAAGGAGGAAAATGGGATCTGTTTCCAAAGAGGGAGTTAAGGGGGAGGAATACTTGGATTCTGGGCAGGAATGGAAAATCCGTGGAAAAAGGGAGTGGGAGCAGAGCTTTATGGAGCAGGGAGGAGCCTGCTGCCCGCGACGCCGTTTGCACCACCAGGAGGTTTTCCCTGACCGTTCCTTGGGGGTTGCTGGGCATTCCCGAGGCACAGCAGGCGGGAATTCCCCCATGGGCGTGTTCCTTCCCAGGGGAGCGGCCCTACTGCTGTGACCAGTGTGGGAAGCAGTTCACGCAGCTGAACGCGCTGCAGCGGCACCACCGCATCCACACGGGCGAGAAACCCTTCATGTGCAACGCCTGCGGCCGGACCTTCACCGACAAATCCACGCTGCGCCGCCACACCTCGGTACCGGCCCAGTCCTCGGCCCAATCACCAGCCCAATCACCATCCCAGTCACCAGCCCAATCCTCAGCCCAATCACCAGCCCAATCCTCAACCCAATCCCAGTCACCATCCCAATCATCAGCCCAATCCTCTGCCCAATCCCAATCACCAGCCCAATCCTCAACCCAATCCTCAGCCCAATCCCAGTCACCAGCCCAATCACCAGCCCAATCCTCAGCCCAATCACCATCCCAATCCCAATCCTCAACCCAATCCCAGTCACCATCCCAATCCTCGGCCCAATCCTCAACCCAATCCTCAACCCAATCCTCAGCCCAATCCAAATCACCAGCCCAATCACCATCCCAATCACCATCCCAATCCCAATCCTCAACCCAATCCCAATCACCATCCCAATCATCAGCCCAATCCTCTGCCCAATCCCAATCACCAGCCCAATCCTCAACCCAATCCTCAGCCCAATCCCAGTCACCATCCCAATCATCATCCCAATCACCAGCCCAATCCCAATCCTCAACCTAATCCCAATCATCATCCCAATCACCAGCCCAATCCCAATCCTCAACCCAATCCCAATCACCAGCCCAATCACCAGCCCAATCCCAATCCTCAGCCCAATCCCAATCACCAGCCCAATCACCAGCCCAATCCCAATCCTCAACCCAATCCCAATCCCCATCCCAATCCCCATCCCAGTCCTCAACCCAATCCTCAACCCAATCCCAATCACCAGCCCAATCCTCTGCCCAATCACCAGCCCAATCCTCTGCCCAATCACCAGCCCAATCCAAATCAGCATCCCAATCACCAGCCCAATCATCATCCCAATCCTCATCCCAATCACCATCCCAATCCTCTGCCCAGTCACCAGCCCAATCCAAATCAGCATCCCAATCCTCACCCAATCACCATCCCAATCCCCATCCCAATCCAAATCACCATCCCAATCACCAGCCCCATCCCAATCCTCATCCCAGGAGCACCCCCCACATTCCAGGGGTTCACCTCAGTACTGTCCCATCCCAATCCCCATCCCGGGAGCACCCCCCACATTCCAGGGGTTCACCTCAGTACTGTCCCATCCCAATCCCCATCCCAGGAGCACCCCCCACATTCCAGGGGTTCACCTCAGTACTGTCCCATCCCAATCCTCATCCCAGGAGCACCCACCACATTCCAGGGGTTCCGTGCACTGACAGGTGAAGCCCAGAGCAGACTTCCTGTTCCAAGTGATGGAATGGGATGTTGGGAAGGAATCCTTCCCTGGGAGGTTGGGAGGGCACTGGCCCAGTTTTCCCAGCTGCATTCCTGGAATTGTTCAGAAGCAGGTTGGACAGAGCTTGGAGCAACCCGGGATAGGGTTGTCCCTGTCCATGGCAGGGGGTGGGACTGGATGAGCTTTAAGATCCCTTCCCACCTGAACAATTCCACGACTCCAAAACAAAAGCCTTTTCCTCTACCAACATCAAACACAGGCTTGATCCAAATTTTTCCTTCTCATCCCATACCCAGCTTTCTCTCTCCTGCTTATTCCTTTGCAGATCCACGACAAAAACACCCCCTGGAAGTCCTTCCTGGTCATCGTGGAAGGAGCTGCCAAGAACGACCCGGAGGGGCACAAAACGGAGCTTCCCGACGAGGAGTACGAGGTGTCCCCCAAAATCCCTGAAAAGCTGCTGTCCTTCCCAGAGAACAGCCCCTACCAGAGCCTGGCAGCAGCCCCAGGAAATGGGAATTCCAGCACGGACTGTAAGGCCTCTGGAGCACAGGAAGCCCTGCTGGGAGAACTCGGCGTGCTCCACACGCAGACAGACTCTGGGCAGCCCCAGCTCCATGCCTTGGTGAACATGGAATAATTCGGGATTGCCTCCTGCTCCCGAGGCTGCACCCCTTGTGCAGTCCTTGGCCTGGTGGTGGGAAGCTGGGAAGGAGTGGATTTCCGGCTTTCCTCTGGAAATTCCTTCCCCAGCTCCTGGTTGAGTAGGGTGGCACCACACACCAGGGAATTTGTGGGAGTTGATTCCTTGGGAATTCAGGGGGTGGCTCAGGTACCTCGGTGGTGCAGGTTTGTTTTCCAGGGAATTCAGTGCCACACGGACAATCAGGAGAACTGATGTTCCTCCATGACATTCGCTGCGTTTTCCCCAGTGGAATTTCATCCAGGAAAAGTCTGGCTAAATTCGCTTTTCAGGAATTGTTGGTTTTTCTCTGCTTTTGCCAAAGAGCCCAAAGAGTGGGAGCAGCTTTGGAGTTTCAGTCCAGGAGTTTGGAGTCTCTGAGCAGCAAAAAGGGGCAGGTGGCAGCCAAGTGCTACTTCCTTGGTTTTGCAATTCCATGGAAACCGGAGCAGTCTGGCACTTGGAGCCTGTCCTCACCTTTCCAGCTGTTCCAGCTCCCGTGGAATTAGGCACTTAGGAGACCAAAACATCTCCTAGAATAAAGTCTGGGAAAAGGAGCTGTGCTGGAAAAGGCTCAGTTCAGAGGCTTCTCCTGCTCCATTTTGGTGGACTTGGATTTGGGGGATTTCCCCTGGGCAGGGAAGGAGCCTTGGAGTGTTGTCCAGCTGGGCTGACTCCTGGTTTTTTTTTTCACAACAGCAACTCACTGCTATGACTTAATGCTTCAAACCTCGGGATGGGCTTCCCAGTGTAAAAACCTGCAGCTTTTCCCATTCCTTTTCCCATTCCTTTGCCTGTTCCTGTAGTATTCCCACAGCAATTCCTCAGCTGAAGCTGTGAGCAGAACTTTGGGAAAGGTAAGCACAATCCAACCTTGGTGAGATCCAGCAATAAAGACCCCCCTCCCCCCCCCCAACCTGTGGCACGGAGCTGTTTTTTGGGATAAAGGGATGGCAGAGGCGTTCTCACGGAATTCTAAGGTGGAAAAAAGGGAATTTTTGTACCAGAGGACATTTCCAAGAGGTTATATTTGAGGTATTTATTCCTTCTGGAGCTCAGTTATTCCCAATGGAAGGAAAGGGGTTGTAGATGTATTTAAAGGCTGAGCACTTGGATCTGGAGCCAGGGAACGTTTTGTACTCTGGGAACATACAGAAGTGAGTTCCTTGTTTGAGCTGTTCCTATTAAAATACGGAATATGGAGACCTCCCAGTGACTCAGTCATATCCAATGGGACACTTTGGGATATTGACGGGCCTGGAAGGTTCACCTGGAGAAGGGAAGGTTCCCTGGAAACCTCAGAAAGGGCCTACAAGGAAAAGTGGGAGGGATTCCTCATCAGGAATTGCAGTGGCAGCACAAGAGGGAGGGAAAGTCTTCCCAGTGACAGAGGGGGAATTCAGGTGGGATATTGGGAAGGAATTCTTCCCTGTGAGGTCGGAGAGGCCCCTGGAAGAGTTTTCCTAGAGAAGCTGTGGCTGCCCCATCCCTGGAAGTGTTCAAGGGGCTCGGAGCAAGCTGGGATAGTGGAAGGTGTCCCTGGAACAGGATGAGCTTTAAGGTCCCTTCCCACCCAAACCATCCCACGATTCCAAACTGGAATTAAAGGAATCACAGCCCCTCCCAGCCTCCATCATCCCACCACGCTCCAGCCTTTTGAGTTTTCCAGAAGAACCACTTCTCCCTCCTTCCATCCATGATTTTCACTTTATTCATGTACAGAGTCACACCAAACATGATATTCTTGCTAAGGCCATTTCCTTAAATAAGTTTTCCGAGTAGAGAGTGATGGAAGTGGGGCGGGAATACAGCGGGAGTGGCGGAATTGTCACCTGGGAACCGTCACAATGCACCATGGATACAGCAGAGGACATGCTGGAGCTACTCACACACAACTACCAGGTGTAGGGATGGAGTAACAGCCCTCCTGCTCCTCCTGTCCTACAACACCGACACAGGGAATGGCAAAAGAACCGAAAAAACACCGGGAAAAGTGGAGCCTCCCAAGCTGTGCTTCCCCTCATGCCGGCTCCCACAGTGCTGGACACCAGACAAAGCCATTCCTGAGGGTGGGAATGGATGAACTCCGGGTGCTTCCAAGCCTGGAGCTGGGAGATCTCCCCCTGCCTCCCAAGCCCGGGCTTTTCCATCTGTTTGGGATGAACACGAGGACCTGTGGGAAATAAAGAGATGGGGAAGGGCAGGAAAACATCAAACCAAGGAGAATTTGGCATGGATGGGGATTTTTGGTTTTCAGAACTTTAGAGCCCAACGAGCCAAGCTCTATCCAAAGCCCAGCGTTCCAGCCTGACTTTTTCCAGAGGAAAGAGGGGCTGGGGCTGCCTGGAGCTTCCAGAGCAGCCCTTAATGAATGACTTCACTCTTCCCAAAGAGTGACACAAGCTCCCTGAAAAACCAGGCAGCTCAATCCTCTCTCCTTGCCCACACATCCATCACTTCCTGCAGGAATTTTTCAACTTTTCCCAAGCAGACCGTGCCCCTCCTGCCACCCGAATTCCAACGAGGCTCCCGTGGGATCAACACCCGTGTGCGGCATCCCGAGGGGTCGGAATTTAGGGATTGTGCCCGGCCCACACGGAGGGCGAGGGTACAAAACCAGATCCTTCCTCGGGTGGAATTATTTGGGAAGTGGAGGGATGGGATGCACCACGAACTGAAGTGGAAAATCAATCCAAGAAAGGTGGAAACCGAGCAGGACCTAGGGCCGACACCGATGCCGGCATTCCTGGAATGCCTTTGGCGTGGCGGGGGTGTGTGGGATATTCCCAATTCCCAAAGCCTCTGGCTAGCACCACTTCCAGACCCCCAAATCCAAGTGTATCCAACACTGGAGAGCGGGAAGATGGGAACACAACGGGCTGGAAGCGCTTATTGGTGCTGTGCTGGCCTGGATGGAATATTTACATGCTGGAATCAACGGAACAGCAGGAAAACCGGGAGCTGCGAGTGCAGGCACCGGGATGAGCGGGACCAAACCCCAGGAGGAGGAGGAGGAGGAGGAGGAGGAAGAGGAGGAGGAATTCCTTCCTCTCCAAGGGCTTCTCCCGCCTCACATCCACCCGGAGCGTCACCACAGAGCGGGAGCTAAAGAAACACAGTGAGCCGTGGGAGTGGGAAGCGACCAAAGAAAGCGCGGGATTGGGTCGGGAATTCCCGAAAAGTCCTCGGCTGGAGGTGGAGGCGGGAAGGGCCCGCGGGCGTCACTTGAGGTCGCCGTCGCCCTCGCCCTGGATGGTTTTCTTGATGCGCAGCAGCATCGTGGTGAGCCACTGATCCAGCCGCGAGATGGAGTCGAATTCCTTCACCTGGCACCGGCAAAAAACGTGGATCAGGGAGCGGGAGGGGATGGGAGCGGGGAGTGGCAGAAGTGGGCTCGTCCTGGGAATAAAGGGGAGGGAAAGAGGAGAGAAAAGGGAAGGGGGGAATGCAAAGAAGGACGGTAAAGGGAAAGGGAAAAAAAACAAGGGGAAAGGGAGGGAGAAATAAGGAGAAAGGGGAAAAAAGGGGAAAAGCAAAGGCAAAAGCAAAACAAAGGGAAGGGGAAAAAAACAAGAAGGGTGGAAAAGGGGAAGAGAGGAAAAAGGGGAAGAAGAGAAAAAAAAGGAAGGGGGGGAAAGGGAAAGAACCAAGGGGAAAGGGGGGGGGAAACAAGGGGGAGAAAAACAAGGAGAAAAGGGAAAAAAACGCAAGGGGAAAGCGAGGAAAAAACAAGGGAAAAGAAAGGGAAACGATAAAAGGGAAAGGGAAAAGGGGGAAAGGAAAAAAGGGGGGTAGAAAGGAAGAAGGGAAAGAAAGGGGGGAGAGGGAAAAAGGGAAGGAGCGAAAAGGAGGAAGGGCCGAAAAAACCAAGGGCAAGTGGGAGGGAAACAAGAGAGAGCAGAGGAAAAATAGGGAACGGAGGGAAAAGAAGGGAAAAAGGCCACAGTCCAGAGAAAAGTCTCTCCAAACCCACCCCGAGCACTTTAAGCTCCTGTCAAACACCAAAGGAGCAAACCCAGGCAGGATGTGAACTCTCCATGAAAACCCAGGAATGGTAAAGGAGGAAGGTGGGACCGTGCTGGAGCAGCTCTGTCCCCAGCCCCTCTCTGCAGGTTCCCAAATCCTGAACAGGGCACAGGCATCCCAAAAAAAGAGAAGGGAGAGGCAGCATTCCCAAGTGAAGCCATGAGTACTCACTGCCTCGGTGTAGGCCTCGCTGTTCTGCTCCTCGTGAGCTTCCAGCAGTTTCTGGGAAAACAACAGGAAAAATGAGGGAATGCTCTGGTCCTGCATGTTCCTGCTCCGGCATCTCATCCCAGGGAACAGAGACTCATGGGATGCACCCACCACAAACGGGGATCTGGGACAAACCCAGGGAAAAGCAAGACTGATGTCCTCTAAAGTGCTGGGAGAAAGGAGAAAACCCCTGGAAAAGTGGGAAATTCCCCTGATTACTCACTTTCAATAGCTTGCATTCCCGGGAATCTGTGAAAGCCGGGAACATTTCTTCGTATTTCTCCAGTGCAAGCTGGAAGAGAGAAGAGATCCCTACACACACCAGTCCCATTTTTTTTTTTTCCCCAGGATTTTGCCTTCCCATCCTCAAACTTGGAAAAGTATCCACCAGGAATCCAACATGACAGCAGCACATCAAGAATTCCAGTCACTGCTGAGGATGGTCAGGGATTTTGGGATAATAGCTGTGAGCCCACCAAGCTTCTCCCAGCTGGCCCAGGCTGGTGAGGAGGGATTGGGAATTCTGGGATAACTGACCTTGGCATTCAGTTCATCCACGATGAAGTGGCACAGGGCAGCTTTGAAGAAATATTCCTTGGCGCTGTACTTGAGCAAAGGGTTATCCATCGTGTTTGTTCCCACCTGGACAAACAAAACAAAACCATGGAAAAAAGGGGCAGGAAAGGAAAGCCTGGGTTCAACCAATTCAAATTCCACAGGGCTGGGAATAAAAGGCGTGGAAAAAATGCCAAAAAAGCTGTTGGGAAGCAGCTTGAACTTATCCCAAGGGAAGTCAGATCCCACCAGGCTGATGAGGAAATGGAAAAACAAATCCATTTGGGAAAAAGCTGCTTTGGGATTAAACCTCTGGAAGTGCCAAGCAGCACTGCTGGTATTCCCAGGTAAATATCCAACCAGGGCAGAGTTGATAAATGCAGGAGGGAATTTTCTACCAAAGGGTGTTGTAAATACATTCAAAGGGGAATTCTGATGGATTTCCCCTGGAAACACTGAGAAATCACGGATGAAAAACACTGAAAAAAAAACCCCCTGAAAAACACCGAAAAATCATGGGGACACCTGGCATGCTGGGGGAGCTCTGACCTCAGAGAGCTTTTCCAACCTAAACAATTCCCTGATTCTGGCAGTTCTGCCGACCCCCCCNTGAAAAACACCGAAAAATCATGGGGACACCTGGCATGCTGGGGGAGCTCTGACCTCAGAGAGCTTTTCCAACCACAAAAAATCCCCAGGTTCGGCAGTTTTCCCCCCCCCCCCCCCCCCTCCCCGAGCCCTTTTCCTTGGGAAGAGGTGCCATTCCCATGGGATTTGCTGCTGACCTGCTCGTAGATCTCGATGGCTTTCTGGTACTGCTCCAGCTGCGCCGCGTACGCCGCCACCTTCAGCAGACACTTGTTGGCCGAGCTGCGACCACATCCCAAAAATCAGGCCCTGAATCCCGGGAATTCACCAGCCCACGCCCCAGCACCCCTTCCCGCAGAGAAAACTGGGAACCCACAGGTGGGATTTAGAGGAATTGTCGTGGAATAGCCCGAATTAGAAGTGTGCTGGTTCTGGGAGTGTGTGGGGTGGATCCCTGCTCCAGCCCTTCCCGCTGATCCCAAGGACTTGCCTGTTGGATTCCTCTCCCTTGTAATAATCCGCAGCCTGCTCGTAGTGCGCGATGGCCTGGGGACAGAAATGTGGGATCAGTCATCCCGGGAAAAAGCACCCCAGGGGACAGAGAGGCTGATCCAACAGAGCAGATCCTGCCTGGAAAAGAACCCCTAAATCCCATCCAGTTTTATCCTGCAAAATTCCAGCAGGAGGAAGATGAGCAGCGGGATTCCCGCTCAGGGAGCTTGGAAGTGGGAATGAGGGAACTAAAAGTGACAGAAGATGGCTCTGTGACATTCCTGAGCACTTTTCCAATGGGAAACGCTGAGGTGGATTCTCACTGGAATGTGCTGCTGGCACAGGGACACACCAGAGGCTTGGGAACGCTCCATGGAAGCCTCCAGGCCGGGAAAAGCATTAACTCCAACTCAGGGCTGGAATGCACCTACACCACGGGACGGCAGATGGGAATTCTAGAGCTCAGGGGCGAGGAAATCCCGGGAATGATCCGGCTTGGAAGGGACCTCAAAGATGATCCAGATCCACTGGGGAAACACCTCCCAGTGCCCCGGGCTGCTCCGGAGCTTGGCCTCGGGCACTCCCAGGGATGTGAGAACCGCGGGTTTTCCGGGAAAGCGGCGCCGATGACATCGCCCGTGACGTCACCCGGCGACGTCACCGATGATGTCACCGACGATGTCCCCTGACCTTCTCGATGTCCACCAGCTCGGCCTCGTAGATCTCGGCGATGGTGATGTGGTGCTTGGCGGCGATGGTGAAGCGGCCCTGGGGGCGGGAGGGGAGGGGAGGGCAGCGGGATGAGGCGCGGGCGCTCCCGGGGTGAGGCCCCGCGGCATTCCCGACGGCGGGAATGGCCTTACCATGTCCGTGTAGATATCGATGGCTGCGTTTAAGCAGTTGATGGCCTCTGCAGCGTGTGTGAGAGACAACAGCGTCAGCCGCGCCCCCCTTCCCAAATCCCACCCGGCAGGGAATATCTGCCCGCAGACCCGGGAGTGATCCCAGCACCCCCAGTAATTCCCAAAGGGAACAAACGCCGGGACGACCCAAGCCCAAGTTTGGCTGTCTGCATGCCCCAACGGAGCAAACTTCAAGGGATCAGCTCCGAAACACTGCTGATTCCCAGGGAATTTGGGAGTTTCACCGCTCCAAAAGGGTGTTAGCCACCCTGGGTTCGTTCCCGTGTCTCCTGGGATAATGATGCTGGGAGGAGGGGGATTTGCTCCCAGACCTATCCAGGGAAAAGTGGATTGGAGACTTCCCCAAAAATCAAAACCTGGATCCTTTATTCTCATCCCACCAAAGGCCAGGACTGAGGAAAGCCTCGGGGACACGGCAGGGATCCCACTGGGATCCAGCCCAGTCCCTGCCTGGAGCCATTCCTCAGGAAGCCATTTCCCTAAAGCCAAGCCAAACCAGGCTGGAAGCTGCCAAAAATCCCAAAATCCCAACAACCACCAAGAGGAGACGCCAGGACAGCGCTGACCTCCTGTACCATCATCCCAAAGCTCCTTGTGGAAAAGCAGGACCGCCCCTCTGCTGGGAACATTCCCAGATTCCTCTGCCTCACCTTGTGGATCCGCTTTTTTGTAGGCATTCCCGGCATCCACGAAGCTGGTGGCTGAGTCGTGCTTGCTCTGGAGCTGCATGTGCAGCTTGGCTGCCTGGCAAAAGGCATTTCCTGCAGCTGGAAAAGAAGGAATACCAATCCTGTGAATCCCAGGGATGAGCAGGAATGTGTTGCCTCCGGGACTTGGGGGGATTCAGGGATGAGAGCTTCCCAAGCAGCATCACCAGCTGGCATTTTAAAATTCCTCCAAGACCCTTCAGCTCATTCCCTTTGTCCATTCTCACAGTATTTAAATAGGAATTGTATGGACACAGAGACCATTCCCCACTGGAATAACTCACAGGAAGATTTTTGGGTGCTCCAGGATCTCACCCACACCCACACCCCCCACCCCAGATCCCAGGATTCGGACTCACCACTCCAGTTTTTGGCGATCTTGAACATGTTGGCAGCCCTGGTGTACATCTCACAGGCCTCCTCCACCCGGGTGTTGCCCCTGGAATGCAGCAGGAATGCTCCTGAGGCCGGGCCAGGAGGGAACACGGCTCCAGAGCCAAAACTGGGATTGGGAATCTTGGCCTCTCCGGCTCTGTGATGCTGATCCCACCCCCCATGTGAGAACACTGAAAGGGGAATGCTGGATTTGGGGGCTCCCTCGGAATTCTGTGATGCCAAAGGTCAGATTTTTCGTAAGGAAATGCAGATTTTTTTATGGAAACCCTGAGAAAAAAAGAGGCTCTGGGGGGACCTCCTTGCTCTCCATAACTCCCTGACTGGAGCCAGGTGGGATCGAGCCCTGCTTCCACAGAAAAAAAAAACAAAAACAAAAAGGAATCTCAGAATCCTTAAGGTTGGAAAATCTCTCAAGCCCATGAATCCAATATTCCCCCAAAATCCACGTCCCCAAGTTCCACATCCACGCTGCTCTTAAATCGACCTCACAAGAGGAATTATTCCATTTTCTTTTCCATCCCTTGGGAATTCTGGCGCTTTTCTCCCTTCCCTCTCTGCCTCTGGCAGCCGAGCACGGTTGGTTTGGGAAGCACAGGCGGGATTTTTGGATTCCTCCTTGCCCTTGGAAGGAGGCTCTGGCAGGAGCCGGAGCCCAATGGAGGCAGCACCGAGGAACGCTGCACGCAGAGAGGCCTCTGGAACAGGGCAGGTCCCAGCCTTTTAATCCCAAAACAACCAGAAATAAAAGGAATATTTCCTTCCACAACAGCTCCTGTGCAAGGTGCTGGAGCAATTCCAGGAATAGCCCAGGTGGGAAGAAGGAATTTGGCTGGCACTGCGAGGCCTGGATATCCCGTTTGCCAGGGAAGGTGCCAAGAGCAGAGTCACCCCCACCCCCCCCACACACCTTCCCTTCCTCGTTTTTTTTTTTTTTTTTTACTCCATCTAGTTTTAGCCCTGGAAATTAAAAATTCCCGTCTCGAAATCTCAGCCCGTTGGCTCCAAGGATTTTCAGGAATTTGCTGCCCGGATTATGCCCCGGGAGCAGGCCCTGCCTGATTAATCTGCCGGAGGCCGGAGAGGAAATTCTATTTAAAACTTGTGGATTTTTGGACGGTCTCAGCCGATTTTTCCAGGCTGATGGATAAAAAAACCTCCCGGCCTTCACAGAGCATCACTCCAGGAATGTTCTTTCCTAAAAAAAAAAAAAAAAACTAAGGAAAAGCAGGAGTGAGGTGGCCAAAGCACCCTGTTTCAGCGAGCCTGGAGCAGGCAGGCTCGGGGAAAAGGACGCTCTGCCATTTTCTGGGATAACGCCGGTGTTCCCGGGAATTCGGGAGAGCCCATCGGTGCCAGGGCGAGATGATTCCCTCGGGATAAAGCCGGGATGAGCGGACAGGAGCCGCAGAGGCCTCTATCACATCCCTGTGGCCATGGATGGCCAGGAGCGGCTGCTCCAGGGAAATCCGGGTTTGGATCGGGACGGGAGAGCTCCTGGCAGGGATAAGGAAGGACCCTCACCCACAGCGGGGGGCAGGAGTTGGGAAAAAAGGGGGAAGAGGTCGGGAAGGGGAGCATGGACTAGATGGGGAAGGGGGGCAGGAAATAGGGAAGGGGGCGGATGGAGGAGATGGGAATGGGGGTGGGCAGAATGCCGGAAGAGGGATGCAGGATGGGGGATGCAGGATGCGAGAAGGGGGATGCGGGATGCGGGATGCGGGAAGAGGGATGCGGGATGCGCTCACCCGAAGAGCCCCCGCAGGAAGGAGTGCGAGCCCTTGACCCGCTTCTCGGCCTCCGCCATCAGCTGCACGGCCTCCCGCTCCTTGCCGGCGCTGTCCATCGCTCCCCGGCCTTTTTCCTGCTTTTCCTGCTCCCCGTGCTCCTCCTCCTCCTCCTCCTCCGCCGCGGCACCGGGAGCGCGGCGCGGCGGGGCGGGGCGCGCGCAGGATGCGGGATATGCGGGATATGCGGGATCCGGGATCCGCCTCCTCCCGCCGGGTGGGACCCGCGCAGCCGCGGCTCTCCGGTTATTCCCGAAGGGGGGGATTCCAAAAGATGGCTTGTGCTCGAGGATGCCGAGGGGAATGGGAGCGGGATCCCAGCTTAGTGCGGCCGCTGGGATCTGTGACAGGTCAATCCTTGTCCTGAAGGTTATTTATGTCGCTCTCCCAGTTTCCAGGGAATTAGCTCACCTGTAATGCAGGAGAGCTGAAACTCAAATTCCCGGGGTGGTAGGCTACGCTTTCCTGGGAATATTCCACGCTGAGGATAATCAGAAGGGTCACATGTGTCCTGCCCCCGTCACCTGAGCGCACATTTGGCTTGTTCAAAAACGCCCCTGGAAGGAGTGAGCCCTGTACGGGGAAAACTGGGATATTCCTGCCTGATCCCTCCCCTGCGCACCCGGGCCGAGGGAATCCCATAGCCCTGACCCCGCCGAACTACAACTCCCGGCGCGCCCCGCGGCCGGCGCCCTGCGTGACGTCACATCCACGCGCCCGCTTGTCTCCATGGCGACTACGGCGCATCCCGGCGTCGCTCCCATGGGAACGTCCCGTCCCGCATGGCGTCCCGGGAACCGCGGGAAGCGGGGGAAAAAAACCTGGCGCTCCCCGCGGCTCCCTCCTCCCTGTGAGGGAATGCCGGCTCTGCAGTGCCGGGAAAGGAAAGCCCGGCTCCGGTGTCCCAGGAATTCCAGGTGAGTGACCTGGTTTCAGGGCTGGGCGAAATTAAAGCCAGGAGCATTTCCCAAGCCAGGAACTGTCGTCCCCATCCGAGCTCGCTGGGAAAACCGGGAACTGTTCCACACTGGATCTCAATTAACCCCAGGGTTTTTTCCCTTTTCCAGGCAGGACGACATGGAGCCTTTTTCTCTCTCTGAGCTTGGGCTCCCAACAGAAAACAAAGCTATCCAGGGAATTCTCTGCCCCATGGCTGTGGAGCTCTGCCACCTCCTCCTCGCCCTGCAACGGGAAGATGGGATTTCCCTGGCCTTTCCCAATTTGGTGGGAAAGGCGGGAAAATTAGCCAAAGCTACGGAAGAACTCGCTGCTGTGGCAAAGAGGTGAGGTGGGTGGATGGGAGTCTCCCGAGTGGATTTAGGGGCTGGGAAGAGATGGAAAAGGTGGCAGGGAGGGACGGGACAGGTGGGGAATAGACAGGAGTGCTGAGCCCCGTCCTGCCATTCCAGGCTGTCTGAAGATTCCGGCCAGGAGGGGAGCGCGGAGATGTGTCCCGTGGGTGAATCCCTGCTCCAGGCTGGGAGGGACGCGCTGCTGGCTGCATGCCAGCTCCAGGAGCATCCGGACAGCCCTCGGCACCGACAGCACCTGGCAGCGGCTGCCAAGAGGATCCTGATGGAGACAGCAAAGGTGAGAGGGACATCGGGAAGGGACACGAGCAGGGTGGGGAGGGAAGCTCCAGCAGATCCATGGAGCAAACCACACCTCCTCCCCCCTCCAGGGATGAAAGGGGAATGGGGAATTCCTGACCTGAGCAGCTTTTCTGCCTTGTTTCCTGGTTAGCTCCTTCAGCTGGAAGAGGCTGCAGGGATGAGGAGGATCACTGGCGCTGCCAGCTGGCTCCTGGAATGCCTGAGCGTGCTGCGGGGTGCCCGGGACGCTCCGGGAATGCTGGCTGCATTCCAGGCCTTTTCTGAGGCCGTGCTCCTGCTGAGCCGCCTGACAGCCAAGCGGCTCCAGGAACTCCGAGACTGTCCTGCAGGGAAGAGCTTGGCCCAGACCCTGCAGCTGCTCCACGAGTGTGTCCCACTCATCCACACAGCCAAGCACAGCGCCCTGACACCTCCCAGGGATTGCCGAGCTGACCTCTCCCAAGATCCTGTTTTCCAGCTGGCGGAGAGGATCATCAGGGAGCTCCTCTCCCTGCTCACAGAGCCACAGGACAGGAGTGGGATCTTCTCCCAGCAGGTGAGCAGGCTCCAGGCTCTCCTCTCCCATCCCGACCCCCTGCGCCTCTCCGAGGGCGGGTTCAGCTCCCACTTGGAAGCAGTCATTCTCCATGGAATGCTGCTGGCAGAGTCATCCAGGCTGGATCTGCGGCTGGAGCTGGTGGAACGTTGCTGGGTCCTGCTACAGCTGAGGAGGAGCATCTGCAGCCACCTGAGCCAGAGGGAGGAACAGCCAGGACAGAGGCAGGGAGGACATTTGGAACGGGAATGTCGCAGCCTGAGGGAGGAGCTGGAAAACCTGGACCGGGCAGCGCTCAGGGCCACGCTGTGCCAAATCCTGGATGGATTCTTCGAGGAGAAGGAGCCCCTGAGGCAGCTGACTGAAGGTGCCCTTAGCCTTGACGGCTCAGGATGTTTTCCAGCAGGACCAGGAGGAATTTTAAGGAAGCTCCAGCCTCTCATTGCCGCCTTCTTTGCTCAGGCCCAGCAGATGCTCCGAGCGGCCGATCTGGTCCTGGCCAGGTGTGCCAAGGCCCAAACTGCCAGGGAAATCCGGGAGGGCGTGGAGCACCTGCGGAGCCTCCTGGCCAGCCTCCCTTCCCTGCTCACAGAAACAAGCAGGAATTCCATGGAGCAGCTCCAGGCCCTGTGCTGTGCATGGCCCAGAGCCACCCACGGCCTCCTGCGCTGCTTTGAGGAGACCTTTGGCATGAGGGAATTCCTGGAGTTATCCATGCTGGAGCTGGCCAAGCACAAGGAATGGTGCCAAGCGGCGCTGGAACGCCGAGATCCCGAGGGATTCTCCTGGCACGCCGCTCGCCTCACGGGCTGGGCACGCTGGGTGGTTGGAGCCACCACCCGGCACGTGGACGGGGCCACGGATCCCATCTTCAGGAATGGTTTGCTGGTGTGGGTGGAGCAATTGGCCAAATCCATCCTGGAGCTGGGAGCAGTCAGGGCCCTCATCCCAGGAAGGTTTTCCTGCCTCCAAAGCCGGGATGCCCTTTTGCAGGCAGTGAGCTCCCTGATGGACTCTGCTCTCCGTGTCCAAGCCGGGCTGGATGGGTCCAACCACCCGGAGATCCTCAGCCCTCTCCGGGAGCAAGTGCGGAGCACCAGGGTGGGAAAGGGGCTGGAGCTCAGCCTGTCCCACACTGGAATACAGACCAGTACAGATGAGGCAGCGTTCCAAGGAGATATCCAAAGCCATCCATCTGACTTCCCCCTGGATGCATGGAAAGGGGACACACACCCTGTCATTGCAGCTCTCCTGGCAGCATCCCAAGCCGGTGACACGGATGCTGTCCGTGCTGCTTGCTCCGTCCTGCTGCAGCTCTCTGATGGCTGGGTGGAAGCAGCACAGGAAGCGCTGCCCGTGGCTGAGCCCCCCCAGCTCCAGGTGCTGGAGCAGCACCGGGATATCACGGCACTGACCCCACAGATCATCAGCCTGGCCACGGAAACGGCCCCTGGACAGCTCCCTGCTCCAGGCAGGCTTCTCCAAATGGCACTCGGGCTCTCGGGAAGGATCCGGGACACTCGGGAGTGCCTGGCAGCTGTGGCAGGTTCTTGGAATGGTCTGGCCCAGCAAGTGCTTGGATTTATCCTGTCGGGGGACTTTCCACGAGGGAAGCAGGCTTTGGATGAGACTCTGCTGGGCTTAGCGGGAGCAGTGCAGGTGGCAGGAGACATTGCAAGCACAGCCTGCGGCAAGGAAAATCCCAATCCCTCCCATGTCCAGGAGAGCTTTCTGCAGCTCCAAGCCAAGTTTTCCCGTGCTCAGCTGAACACCAAAGCATTCCTAGAGAAGGCAGCGTCCTTCAGGGAATCCTGTGGGATGGAAAAGGCCATCCTGGAGCTGCACGGTGCCCGGTGGGCCATTGGCATGTGTGTCCTGCTGGATGCCATGGATCAGTTTGTGGGCAGGGATGTCCTGTTCCTGAGGGAGCTGGGCAGAGCTGTAAGGAGCAAGGTTGGCCCACGGAGCCTCCTGGCTGCCGTGGCTGAGAATTCCCTCAGGTTGCAGGAGGCTGCCCGGCTCTCCTACTTATCCTGCCCTGGAGACCACAGTGCCAGAGAAATCCTGGTGCTCCGGGAGGAGATCCAGGTGTTCATGGAAGCACTGCTGGATGTGTCCAACACCCTCCTGCACTCCCCACTGCCTGCTGCCAGCTTGGCCATCCGCTTCGAGCTCCTGCGGGGGGACGTGGCCCTCAGGGCCAAGGCGTTGCTGCTCCACATGGAAAGGGTCAACGTGGAACAGCTGCAGCTCATCCAAGGGGTGGTCGGAGCAGCTCTGTCCAACCTCACCCAAAAGGAGAGGGAGAGGAGCAAAGAAGGTTTCGAGGAGAAGGCAAATCAGCTCATGGCTGATGTCCAGTGGGTCAGGAACACCCTGCGGGATGCTCTGGAGGCTGGTGCACAGTTTACATCGCAGCCTGACCTGCTGTCCATGGCTGAGCACCTCCTGCTGCTCACAGCTGACGTGCTGGGAAGCGCCCGGCAGCGCTTCCAGAGCCACCAGGACACTGGGAATCCCTGCCAGGACACTGGGGATCCCCACCTGGACAGCGTGGTGTGGTACTGGTCGGCCAAAGCACACTACCTTGTCACACAGCTCCGGGTTATCCATGGAATGGACAAGGACATCCTGCAGCGCCTCAGGGAATGCCTGCAGCGGGAAAAACGCTTCCCAGGATCACCCAACGGCACAGCCGGACTTCCCCCAGCCCCAGAGCCCACTGAGGCAGCAGGAATTCATCCATGCAGGAGCAGAGGAGCGAGTGGAGCCGTGCAGGAAGTGGGTGAGCTGGTACGGGAACTCTTGTCCCTGGCAGGGTATTGGTCAGGGCTGTCCTCGTTCCTGGTGCTGCCAGCGTGGAGCAGGAATGTGAGGGATGCTGGCAGGGCCTCTCGAGGTCAGCAGGCTGACCCTGGGCCACTGGGGCAGCTCAGGTTGCTGGCAGCCCTGGATTCCTGGATATCTGATCACATCCTATACATCCACCCCAATCCACCATTTTCGAGGCAGGGGGGCTGTAGCGCTCTCCCTCACCTCCACACATTCCCTCTGGGAACACCAATTGCTGGGAATAGCAGTTCCATTCCCATGGGTATCAGAAGCTGGGAAAGGCTTTGGCACAGACCCAAGCCCCTCAGCAAAGTGCTTTAGAGCTCTAACTGTGCTGGGAATTAATTGCAAACTGTCAGCTTGCAGGACATCCTATTTCCATTTGGAGATGGCTCCAAGGGCTTTGGCTTTAGGGAAAAGGGCTAGTGGGAAGGTGGAGTGGACCCAGCAGGGGGTGGGCAGCTCTCCCACCAACTTTACTCACCAAAATCTCCTTCAGAAACACCCAGCTGGAGGAGACCACTCGGCATCGCTGCATCCACATATTCCAAGCTTGGGATCTGCTCCATTACTGTCTCAACAGCGCCAGGATCCTTCCAGCATCTCCCCTGCAAAGCAGGAGAGAGGAAACTGTGACAAGTGGCAGGGTGGCCCCAGCAAGGTGTCCCAGGTGACCCAGGACATGGCCACTAGGATGCTGCACATGGCTCAGTTCCTGCGGAGGAAAGGCCCCATTGCGGTAGGCAGCGTTTCATCCCTCCCGTTTTCCCTTAGGATCATGGCAGCTCCATCCCAAATCCCTGTGTCACCCAGCTCTTGGGAGAGTGGCACCAGCTCTATTTATGCAAAATACTCCAAATTCCTTCCTCCTGGTTGGATGTGAGCTTGGCATCCTGTCCTTTCCTCAGGAGGTATCTGAGCCTCCTGGACCCTCCCTGTTTTACAGGAAAAGCCTTTTTTTCTCCTCTCCCCAATCCCATTGATTTTTATCCCATTGCAGAGCAAGGAGCAGTTTGTTGCCTGTGCCAGGAAAATGGTTTCTGATGGGCAGGTGGTTGCTAAGTTTGGGAACATCCTTGCCAAGCACTGCCTGGACCAGAGATGCTCTATGGAGCTGCTCCGTGCCACTGAGCACACCCAATCCATCAGCAGCCAGCTCGGCATCGTGGCCAGGTGAGCTGCCAGCAGCTGGGATCACCTCTCCCGAGGCCATCCAAGAGGGATCCCTTCTCCAAGGGATGTGGGTGGTGGTCCCCAGAGGTCCTGGGGGAGGTGGGTATTATCCAAGAGTTGAGGAACAATTTGGAGGCCTCCCTTCCCTCTGTGGGTTTCCCTGCTCCGATGGCGCAGGGGACACAGGCTGGGTTTGGGATAACAACACTGTCAGGATGTCCAATGTCCTTGCAATAAAATCCTTTGGGATGTCTTTGAAGGGTGAAAGCAGTGACTGGGGAGAGCAAGGCCTCCTCTGAGCTGCTGCTGAGCAACGTGCAGAACCTCATCCAAGCGGTCCAGCACGTCCTGAGGGCGGCCGAGGCGGCGTGTGTCAAAGTGAGTCCATCATGGAACCAATCCTGGAATTATCTGGGTGGGAAGGGTTGCTCCAAGCCCCCCTCCAACCTGGCTTGGAGCAGTTCCAGGGATGGGACAGCCACAGCTTCTCTGTGCCAGGGCCTCCTCATCCTCACAGGGAAGGGTTTCTCCCTAACAGTGAAGGCTCATGGCAGCAATTCCACGCTGTGGGAGATTCTCATCCAGGGCTTTCTATGGGAGCTGGGATCTGGCTGCTGTGGGACTGCAGCTGGAGCAAATATTCCTCCCAGAATACTTTGTGCCTTTCTGTCTTGTGTCCAAAGCCCACCCTGCATCATCCCAAGCACTTACTGTCCTTAAAGTCACCTTTTCCTGGTCCATTCCCCACTTAATTTTTGGATCGTAGAGCACCTTCATTTGGAATTAGTCCATGCTATCCTCTTCATTCCCAAAAGCCAAATTCCCAAGAGCTTCCCATGCAGCTGCCATCACAGCCACCTGATCTGACTGCAAAGTCTGTGGGGGCAGATTTTTCCTGGAAACAACAGGAAAACAAGTGCAAACACCACTAGCCTGTCCCTGAGGCTGAATCCCCTCTATAATCCTACTGCTTTTCCTGGGATCAGCATCTCTTTTTTAAGGAAACGCAGATTTTTTTTAGAATCCCCTTTGCTGAACAATCAGCCCCAAGGGTGACAAAGCTCCTCCTGTGCTTAATTAAACTTTAAACTTCCTCTATTTGCCCATTTTTCACTGTGCTGCTGCCAGCCTGGATTAATTAGTTAATTAATTAATTTTTACTTTCTAGAGCCCCAAGTCCTTTATGACCTGGAAATTTCCCTTTGGAAAATTCCCTGCTTATCAACAAACTGCCCTCCTTTCCTCTCCTCTAAGAAGCTTTTGAAGCATTTTGAAGCATTTTAAAGCATTAAGAGGTAGCGATGCCACATGGATCACACACACATCAGCACATCCAGACTTTTCCACAATTTAGGATGCAGAGGGATATATTAAAGCAATTCTTTTGTCCAACAGGGTTTGGGACAGCCTTCAGCAGACCCTGAAGAAGAGGAAGTTGCTGCTTTCTGCCAGCAGTGGAGGAAAAACCTGACACAGCACAGAGCCAAGGAGGCTTTGAATTCCGACCGGGATGAATTAGGGCTCCGGAAAACTCGAGGGGCAAAGGCTGAGCCCACCCTGATGTCTCTGGTGCAAGAGCAACCCCCTCGGAGCAGGAACATCCCAAAGCATCCCATTCCTAGGAAAGGACCTACAGTTATGGACAGACACCTGTAAGTCCAGAGAGAGGCTCCTTGTCCTGATGGTGTTGGAAGCAGAGGAGGAAAACTTTGCAGTGTGAAAGATTCCTGCTGGAGTTATTCATCATGGCAGGAAAATCTTGGAACAGGCTTCATGGGGAGGCCAGGAATGTTCTGGTGAGTGTTTTACCCCTCAGGTGGTGAGATGGGATGGACAGGGCTTTGGAGAATCCTGATCCAATGGGAAGTGTTGGAGGTGTCCCTGCCCATGGCAGGGGGTGGAATGAGATTAATTTAAGGTCCCTTCCCACCCAAACTATTCCAGGATTCTGTGATCCAGAAATGCTCAGGCTTTCTGCTGTCTTTCAACCTTTCCTCCTTCACACATCCAGGGATACAGCAGTGGGGAGCATTTTGTCTCACCTGCTGCCCCTGAGCCTGCAGATTTCTTCCCAAAATCCCACTCAGCCCCAGGATTCTCTCCTATCCAGAGTAAACATTCAATCCCCAAGGTCACCTACCTCACAGCATCCAGAGTACCCCAGACTGGTGACACTGCTGCTCCTGTATCCTGGCTCTGCACATCCATCCTTCCCAACCTCAGGATCACGAGTTGGAAACGGTGCTCTGTGCTGGAATTCTGCAGGAGAGGTGGAAAGGAGCTTCCCCTGTGGGATACACAATCCAACAGCACAGCAGATCACAAGTGGCTCCATGGTGGCTGCAGCCCATTCCAGCCCACCCTGGTGTCCCACCTGCATCCCAACCACCTTCTCCAGACCAGGAATTACTTGCGTGGTGGCAAGACATCTCCTCCACATTCCATGGAAAGGCAGCAGCAGGCACACTGGAGACTCTGGGAAGCTATCTGCAATGGATAAAGCATGGGTGCATGGAGGAGAGGAAGGGAAGGAAGGAAGGATTCCAGGAAGGAATTACACACGGAGACAAGAGGCTGAGGACTCGCTGGCTTTTGTATCCATGTCCCATTTCCACACTCTTTTTCCCTGCTGGCTTGGTTTTTTGAGTAAAACCTTGCCCAGCCACACCAGTGAGCGGATGAAGAAATAACTGATTACTAATAAAGGGCTAATGGATTTCTCCCAAGTAACAGCCCAGTTCCATGTCTATTCTCTACTTTTCCTACACAAACAAAAAATCATAAAATTAATGGAATTCATGCTCTGGCAAATCAGGAAGGCAAACTGGAACCACGTTTGCCTTTGGAGATGCCTCCTCTGCCATGAAGGGATCACTGGCTTCCCTCAGCTCACCCATGCAAGGCAAAACCTCAGGATTTGGGAAGAACACTCTCCTGTCCCAGTGGAAAACAAAGAGGAAAAGGTCCATGACCATCGCTTGGCCCAGGGGAAAACAAGAGGGAAAGGTCCACCAAGGAAGAGACTTAAAGCAGAGGAACATTCCAAAGGAGTGGGAAGCAGGTGATTGAGCAGCCAGCACATTTTTATTGGGAAGGCAGCTGGTTGGGAATGACTGCATCTCCTCTGGAGAAAAAGCAGCCCCAAAGGCAGGACAAGGGGTCTGCAGGACAACTCCCATGCTCTCCCATGCAAAACTCGGGCAATTCAAGACATGCAGGATGTTCCACGGTGGAAAATGGAAACTCTTCTCCGTGAGACCTCAGGATCAGGTACCAGGTAATGTTAAAACCCCACAAACCATCCCAAAAAGGGCAGCTGTAGTGCCCCTCATGCCAGCTGCCGCCGTATGCACACGGAGTCGTCACCAGGAATTAACTGTACCCTTTTTAATTGTTTTGTTAAAAATGTCGTCGAGACACCATGAATACAAGTACTGCAGTTACAGCCATACAAAAAAAGCAATACAAATTAAGCAGCTGAATACAAAAATACATTGAAATACATGAACACCACAATGGAACTCGGAGCACTAAATCCCAATCGTGTAGGCGTGGAAAAAAATTAAATAAAAACCTTTTTTTTTTTTTTTTCTTTTTTTTCGTATTAGACAGTGTAGTTTTCTCCACTTTGAACAGTTACTTTTGCTAGTTATGTACTTCACAATTTCTTCTATGTACAGCATAGAATAAAATACTTTTAAAAGATATGACATTTTTCATCCTCAATATGTGATATAGTCTCTTTTACACTAATATTGACTGCAGGAATAAAAACTGTCCGTGTCTTACATCAACTCATTGGAAAAGGAGGAGCGACGCTGTCCTTTGAATTCGTTTCCGTGGGGTTTTTCCATCAGTTCGGGGGTTTGGCAGTCCTGGAACGGCATCACTCCTGGGAATTCATGTACATAATATTGCTTGGATCTATACAAATGTGGCAATCGGATCTAAGTGGTGCTTGGGTAAGAGGCAGCTCACACATATACAGCTCTGGGAATTTTCCATGACTTATTTACAATGAAAGTGCTTTTCTCAGCTCTAACATGATCCGGGGGGGATTGGTTTCCTTTCTACAGGTCAATTATTAGTCTCCCTGAAATTGGAAAGAAAAAGGATTTCTCTAGAAAATACCACAGCTTTGCAAACACTCGAGCGTACTGGAGAACTGCGTGTGGTTCGGAGATTAGCAGCTGAAAAGTGGTGGGAATTATAATTTAAAAATAAATAAAGCCAAAAGAGGTAACCCAGGTACAAAACAGCAGAGAACTGCAATACCCACAACGGTAAAAAGACTCCAAAGCCATCTGCTAACAAAAGGGGGAAGCGGTTGGATCGAAAGTCTTGAAAACATCTTTTAGGGATTTATCATCCGACTCCCCGTTGGGATCGCTCTCCGGGGCCTGCGTTACCTGTCCGGGCTGCCTCACCTGCCTGGGGTCGCTGTACTGCGGCCGGATCAACCCCGACAGAGCCTGGATTGGCAGGTTATGGACGGCAGGAGCAGCGCTGGAGTGTTTAGCCTGAGATTTACTGCTGTTGTTTGCCTTGTCTGAGGCAGCTTCCGCCGATCCTTCCGTGGGTTTCTCCGTGTTGGAGGCAGCCTTCTGCTGGGACGCGTCTTCTGTGAGGCTCGGCTCGTTTTTACTGGAATTTTTCAAAATACTTTTTTTCTGGTTCTCTCCGTTCTCTCCCGAAGCGGCCGGAGCCGTGTCCGAGGACGAGCTGTGATCCCTGGGATCGTACAAACTGATCCCGCTCAGGATGGAGCCGGGAGCTCCCAGCCTGACGCCGCTGGACGATAATTTGGGCGCGTACGGAGGCAAAGCGTCGGGCTCGGATTTCGGAGCCGCGGCTTCCGAAGGCTGGGATGAGCTGGCAGCAGCTCTGGCGAGGCGGGGGTCAAACTTGGGAGGGTGGGAATCCTTCCCGACTCCGTGGTGAGCGTCGGCGCTCGACAGTCTGTGGAGTCTGGGATCGACGTTCTTCTGCAAGCGAGGATCCCCCAGTTTGCTGGAGCTACTGGCATGGGAATCTGTGGATGGATCCAAGTAGCCACCCCGGCCCGCCAGGCTGTTTTTGGCCTTGGCAGCGAGCCGGGGATCGGCCGGCATGGCGTTGGGGTGCGGATCGTTCTTCAGATTCCGCAGCTTATTCAGTCTCTGGTCGGCAATGAGCGGAGGGAGGGGTAAATTGATGGAAGAGACGGGGTCGGGTTTGGGCAGAGGGATTGGGAGCAAGTCCTCGGGGGCCCACACGATGTGCTTGGCAAAGTTGGGTTTCATCAGGGTCACATCCATCTTGATGTGGCTGAACTGGCGCAGCTGGGAGCGGGGATCCCGTAACGTGACGCCCGGCAGAGGTTCCATGGGAATGAGGAAAGCTCGTTCCCTGAGCTCCCTCTCCGAGTCCTCCTCGTCATCATCCAGCCCTTTCTGCTTGACCTTCACTCCGGCGTGGGCGTGGTGCAAATCCAGCTTGGCCCCGGCCAGGGAGGAGCCGGGATGGCCGCCCTCGCTGACCTTGTGCATCCGCGGATCGCGGGCCAGCCGGGGATCCAGGGACGCCGACTCCGAAGGTTTCCTGGGATTGGGCCTGGGAGAGCCCCGGAGCCTCGGGTCAGCAGCCTGAGGCCCCACACCTTTGTCTTTGGCCAGCCTCGGATCCGTAGGCATCCCGAGCATGTGCTGCTCCGTGGAATGTTGCTGCCGATTCCTAAAGTTTTCGCTTTGTTTCTTTAAGGTTTTGAGGATTGATTTAACACTGCTCCCCTCTTCCTCCTCGCTACTGGAATACCAGTTGACATTGTCATCTAAAAATCAAAGAAATGCCACAAAATTTAGATGATTCCAGCAAATAATCCTTAGAGAATCCAACCCTCCCTAATGCAAAACTTCTCAGTAAAGTCAAACTGAAAAGATCTGAAAAGATATTAAATCACTCCCTGTGTCATAAAAATCACAACCTCAAACGACCAAAATCCATTTAATCAAAGAAATACCATAACAAAAAAAAATTGAGGTAGTGGACATAGAATGCTTGGGAGTGTCTGCATATTCATCAACATCAACTGCTTGAAACAATCCTTACAGGCACTAGTAAAAAAAAAAAAAAAAACATATCTAAAATCTGAGTCTTGATGGGAGAAGGAATAGTAAAATGGCCCCTTGCAGTGGTCGTTTATCCAGGTAAATTACAAATTTGCTGCCTTACTTAATCCAAATCCCAAAGTTTGCGGGAGAGGTTGAGATTCAGGAAGGGAAGAAATTACAGTATTTCTTTTTAAAGGATATCAGAGAAGGAAAAATGCTGCTCTAGAGGAAATAAATCAAGAGGTGCAACTGAAGAAACAAGGATCGATGATAAACTTCCAGTTCTGGCAGCAAGAAACAACCCTTCTGGACCAACAAGGGATTTTCAAAAGGAATTATCAACCAAAGCGCAGCTAGATCAAAAAGTTACTGAGCCTACACTAAGATCCTAGAAGAAGCTGGGAAGAAGAGCTGAAAATACTGAGCTGCTGCTTGGACACTCCCAGTAACTGTGACACGACACGAATCAATGTCAACCGGTTTGTTGGCCAAGGGGCCACTAAGTATGATGAGAATTCCAACGGAATCCTGCTCACCTTCATCTTTGCTCATGGCCCTCTGGCCCTGGCTGCTGGCAGAGTCTCCATCCCGCTGGTGCTTCTGGCTGAGCCTCACATACAGGGCCTTCTGCATGGCGGGCAGGAAATCGGGCACGTTGATGCCCTGGTTGTGGCCCATGTGGCCACCACCCATGCAGTCCGACTCGCTCCCGCCCGGGTGCGACTCCGGAGCCATGAGGTGAGCCTGGTGATCCGTGAATTCTCCGTGCCACGCTCCATCTGCAGGACAAAGCCCCAGTTAGCAGTTATCCTACAGAGATGTTGACAGCTATAAACATGGCATCGTGCAATGGGTTGGGCTGGAAGGGAGCTTGAAGGACATCCAGTTCCAGGCCATGGCAGGGACACCTTCCCCTATCCCAGGCTGTTCCAAGCCACATCCAAGCTGGCCTGGAACACTTCCAGGGATAGGGCAGCCATAGCTTCTCTGGGAAAACGCTGCCAGGACCTCCCCACCCTCACTGGGAAGGATTCTTCCCAATATCCCATTTCAACCTAAAGCATAACATGACTTAACAACATAAGCGAACACCACCGGCTGAGACAGCCGGAACACTGAAGACATTCCAGGCAGGTTCTATCCAAAATTCATCCAGCAAACGTCCTTACCTCCGGAATTATTGGCTGGCTGGAAGTTGTGTACAGCTTGGTGGGAATAATAGTTGTCATAGAAGTCAGCCGGGTTCTGCATGGGCTCGTAGTCCCCGGGCATCTGCTGGTACTGTGGCCCCGGGGGACAGTGATTGTCCCTTGGCATGTTCACCATGTGTCCCTGCACTCCGGGGGAATTGTAGGATCCTCCCATGCCCGGTGGGGTGAGGGGTGGCCCACCCTGCTGGCCCTGCATGGCCATTCCAGTCTGGTTCTGCGGGCCCAT